TAATTAACAAATTACTAAAACATGAATTTACGGACTCTGTTATTTAATTTATTAAAATAATAATAGATCTGCCATAGATAAAATAAATCAATTATATATTAAAAGTGTCGATGTCCAAAAGGATCGAATGTAAGGCATAACATTCATAGAAACTTGTTATTTCATGTATTAATTTTCTATAATTCCATTATCGAAAATAACAAACTGCCACATAAAATGACTATCGTAATCACCGATTATAAATATCGTTATTCCTCTTAAAAAGCATCTTACATATGTTTAAATTAAAGATAATTAAAGGTATCACATCTGGTGGTGACTTAATGGCGTATCTGAAAAAGTACATTAAGTTTATATCATATGTTACCTAAGGACAAAAGAACTTTTAAACCTAAACATATGTTGGCTATGCTATCTGGTTGAAATAAAAAATTAATTTTAAGTACAATAGACATCCACAAGTGCAGGTAGGCAAAGACATCGTTTTGATTCTATAATGGCCAATACGACGTATGATCTATCCCATGTTAACATTTCCAGCCAACTTTCTTGTCCAAAAGAAAAAAAGAAAAATAAGTGTAAAAAGTACAAATCATGGGGTTCTATACAAATCACATATAATCTGTAAAGGATAGCAGCCATTAATAATCCTAGTGTCATCTATGGCATAATTATAATTCTTTTAGAAATAAGTAAATGCACTATGGGTCACTCAACTTTACTTTCGTATCACTCAACTCATCTTCAATTTGGTATAATCACGTTACTCAGTTTCGATTTGCTTGCAAATCTGGTCTTGCTGTCCACTGTGAGGTAACCCAATTTCGAGCCTAGTCGGTTTTGAGTTACCTATCTTCAATTTGATGCAATCAGAGTTTTTCTTTGTTTAAGACTTCAAGCGGCTATTTTGAATTTAGGGTAAACGAAGTGAAGAAACCACCCTTTAAGTTTCAATTTAAAAGAATTGTAAAATAATTTTTTTTTTTAAAAGATGATAATGCACGTCTAGATTTGCATAATTATGCTTAAGTGTGCATCAGAGGTCAACGACAATCGTTGACCGTTAAATAAAACGTCAAACCAAGTGATTTGGCTTTTTCGCCGTGCATCGCATTTAGGCGATGCCTTTTAGAACAGATCTTTTAACAAGTTGGCTGAAAGACTGCTGGATTTTGCTAATTTTGCGTCATCTCCACATCCGCAGTAATAGTGATGTTCATGATCCTAATTTTTAATTCATTAACTCTTCTGTCTTAGTTTAATTATATTAAATTAAACCTTAAACGAATGGAAGTTAAGTTTAACTAGTTTAACTAGTAGCGTGGCATCGACCAATCTCTAAGGCCTATTTGGAATCAATTAAAAGTTGAAACTCGGTTAGCCTTACTTTATTTCATCTCAAAGCTTATTCAAGAAACTTTCTATTTTAAAAAAGTATATTCTTGAATTTAGAGAGTAAAAAAATTATAAATACTTATATTTAACACTTAATTATATTACTTCCAAAATTATTATTATTATTATTATTATTATTATTATTATTATTATTATTATTATCCTTAATTTTTTCAAATTTCAAGCATGTCCAAATATGCAAATAAAGTAAGTTGAATGGGAAGCATGACATGGCTTATATTATTATTATTATTATTATTATTATTATTATTATTATTATTATTATTATTATTATTATTATTCACTAGTTTCCCTCCAAATTATTATATTATTTACCTCAATTGAAAATTGAATTAGTTTTGTATGCATTTAATTATAGAGAGTGAGTTTGACTTACCAAATTCAGAGAGTTAGATTAACTCTTTAAATTATAATGTTAATTTGAAAAGTCTTTTGAAGCACAATTTTCAGTTTCGACTCTTTAAAATAGAGAGTATCTTATGTTTAAAGGATATCTTGGAGATGCTTTAGGTAGGCATTTAAAAAAACTAAACTTGACCAATGTGTTCGCAATCAAGAAAATTCAAGCTTAAGATTGATTCATAATGAATGTAAAAAGGTTTTGAACAATCAAATTAATATATTAATATTTTGAGATGGAAAGTCAAATTCAGGGATAGAGAAGAGATTACAATTATTTTATTTTATTTATTTATTTTTTTACAATGAAAAATAAAATTTCTTTAATTTTGTTTATTGGTATCTATGAAAAATGAAATGGGCATGGGGCAGGCCCCCTTCTCTTTGCCCTTGGTCAAATCTCAACAAGTGATATTATAGCTACGTTTCCAAACTTAGTCATGTGGATGGAGAAGATGAATCATAGTTATAGCTATTAGAAGGGCATGTGATTGAGTTCGATTTTGATGGTAAAAAAAAAAAAATCCAATATTAGCACGCTCACAAGTCCATGGAAGAGTTACACCACGTTTGGGGGAGATTATTGTTGAAGGACGGATTGTCACGAAAGCCCCACATTAGCTAGACAAAAATGAGATTATAAGTATATAGAACTTGAATTTCTTTATTAGTAGATTAACTTTTTAGACTTGAACGGTCGAGTTCCGATAGAAGTAATGCACAAAGAGATGATTAGATAACAAATTAATTAAAAGGGACTAGCTAACATGCTAAGAACTCATCAACCAATAACACACACACACACACACACACACACACACACACACACACACACACACACACACACACATAGGTATCTGGATCAGTTTACGCATACCTCAAATGATCCTATGAGATCCTAAAATTTACAGTCGGGTACTCACATCAGTGGCCCTGAAGGGAACCAATCATGTATACAAATAAATCGAACAAGAACACTTACCATAATTGATTAAGCTTATTAATCTTACATCTGAATTATGATTATTTTGATTAGTGAAAGAGCTTATTGCTGATTACTTTCTGAGGTGTAATTACACATGAATTGCTCGTGCCAACCACTTTCTTTGTGTGTATGTATTTGATTAACATTGAATTAATTAATTAAGTAATTAACATGCGAGGCTCTTTGCTTTTATTCTCTAATCAAATCACTTAATAATAATTAAAATAAAGCACGCGCAGGCGCAGCAAATTTTCAATTATTCAGTAGGTACTGAGTCTATCCATTCATAGAAAGCCGCATGCATCCTTTCTACTTGAAGACATAAATCCAAGTAGACAGACCATCGTCCGGTTTTCGTCTTTATTAATGATTAAACCATATTTATTATTATTATTATTATTATTATTATTATTATTATTATTATTATTATTATTATTATTATTATTATTCACTAGTTTCCCTCCAAATTATTATATTATTTACCTCAATTGAAAATTGAATTAGTTTTGTATGCATTTAATTATAGAGAGTGAGTTTGACTTACCAAATTCAGAGAGTTAGATTAACTCTTTAAATTATAATGTTAATTTGAAAAGTCTTTTGAAGCACAATTTTCAGTTTCGACTCTTTAAAATAGAGAGTATCTTATGTTTAAAGGATATCTTGGAGATGCTTTAGGTAGGCATTTAAAAAAACTAAACTTGACCAATGTGTTCGCAATCAAGAAAATTCAAGCTTAAGATTGATTCATAATGAATGTAAAAAGGTTTGGACCACTCAAATTAATATATTAATATTTTGAGATGGAAAGTCAAATTCAGGGATAGAGAAGAGATTACAATTATTTTATTTTATTTATTTATTTTTTTACAATGAAAAATAAAATTTCTTTAATTTTGTTTATTGGTATCTATGAAAAATGAAATGGGCATGGGGCAGGCCCCCTTCTCTTTGCCCTTGGTCAAATCTCAACAAGTGATATTATAGCTACGTTTCCAAACTTAGTCATGTGGATGGAGAAGATGAATCATAGTTATAGCTATTAGAAGGGCATGTGATTGAGTTCGATTTTGATGGTAAAAAAAAAAAAATCCAATATTAGCACGCTCACAAGTCCATGGAAGAGTTACACCACGTTTGGGGGAGATTATTGTTGAAGGACGGATTGTCACGAAAGCCCCACATTAGCTAGACAAAAATGAGACTATAAGTATATAGAACTTGAATTTCTTTATTAGTAGATTAACTTTTTAGACTTGAACGGTCGAGTTCCGATAGAAGTAATGCACAAAGAGATGATTAGATAACAAATTAATTAAAAGGGACTAGCTAACATGCTAAGAACTCATCAACCAATCATATATATATATATATATATATATATATACACACACACACACACACACACACACACACGTATAGGTATCTGGATCAGTTTACGCATACCTCAAATGATCCTATGAGATCCTAAAATTTACAGTCGGGTACTCATATCAGTGGCCCTGAAGCGAACCAATCATGTATACAAATAAATCGAACAAGAACACTTACCATAATTGTTTAAGCTTATTAATCTTACATCTGAATTATGATTATTTTGATTAGTGAAAGAGCTTATTGCTGATTACTTTCTGAGGTGTAATTACACATGAATTGCTCGTGCCAACCACTTTCTTTGTGTGTATGTATTTGATTAACATTGAATTAATTAATTAAGTAATTAACATGCGAGGCTCTTTGCTTTTATTCTCTAATCAAATCACTTAATAATAATTAAAATAAAGCACGCGCAGGCGCAGCAAATTTTCAATTATTCAGTAGGTACTGAGTCTATCCATTCATAGAAAGCCGCATGCATCCTTTCTACTTGAAGACATAAATCCAAGTAGACAGACCATCGTCCGGTTTTCGTCTTTATTAATGATTAAACCATATTTAATGATTTTAATCGAGTTCCATGTGATAAACGTATTCCCATGCAACATCTGTAGTTTCGAAAACCCTAATTTTTCAGAAATAAAACCATTAATTTACACTCGAATGTTGCCTATTTATACTGGCATTTTTGAACTGATCTAATTGCAAAACAATGGAATTCATCACCTCCTTCGACTTCACATTTATTTTTCTTTTAGCATTCTTGATCTTCAGTATTCAATGCCATGCAAAAGAAACAAGAAACCATGAGTCACTAGTCTTGGGTTTAACTCATGCCAAAACCACCATTGCCATTCCAAATTCTTTAAAGAAACCATCTGAATTCTTGGATATGGTGGAGCCACTTAGAGAAGTAAGAGATGGATACATTATAACTCTAAATTTAGGGACACCCTCTCAAGTCATCCAGGTATATATGGACACTGGAAGTGACCTTACTTGGGTACCCTGTGGAAATCTATCTTTTGAATGCTTAGATTGTGATGATTATAGAAATAACAAGTTAACGGCTAGTTTTTCTACATCTCGATCCTCTACATCTTCACGAGATTCTTGTTCGAGTCCCTTTTGTATTGACATCCACAGCTCGGATAATTCCTATGATCCTTGTGTCATTGCTGGATGCTCGTTAAGTACCCTACTCCGGTCCACTTGTTATAGGCCGTGCCCTTCTTTCGCTTACACCTATGGTGATGGTGTCGTTAGTGGAACGCTTACTAGGGATATCCTTAGGGTCCACACAAGTACACCTAATGCCACTAGGGAGATTCCTAAGTTTAGTTTCGGTTGTGTTGGTTCCACATATAGAGAACCAATAGGAATTGCAGGTTTTGGCAAGGGATCACTCTCATTCCCTTCACAACTAGGGTTTCTTCAAAAGGGTTTCTCTCATTGTTTCTTGCCTTTCAAATTTGCCAACAACCCTAATATTTCAAGCCCTTTAGTTGTAGGAGATTTAGCAATCTCTTCCAAAGAGTATTTGCAATTTACACCAATGTTGAAGAGTCCCACGTATCCAAACTACTATTATATTGGTCTAGAGGCCATAATTGTAGGCAATGCCACTGCACCAACACAAGTACCCTTAACCTTGAGAGAATTTGATTCTTTTGGCAATGGGGGCATGATAATCGACTCAGGAACCACTTACACTCACTTACCTAAGACACTATACTCACAGCTTCTCTCAGTCCTCCAGTCAGCGATAACATTCCCTAGAGCTGAGGAAGTTGAGGAGAGAACTGGTTTCGATCTTTGTTACAGGGTTCCATGTCCCACAAATAACATTCTCGCAGACGATCTGCCTTCGATCACATTCCATTTCTTGAACAATGTGAGTCTTATACTGCCTCACGGGAACAATTTCTATGCTATGGGCGCGCCAAGTAACTCTAGCGTGGTGAAATGTTTGCTGTTTCGGAGCATGGATGAGAGTGATAATAATTATGGACCAGCTGGGATTTTTGGAAGCTTTCAACAACAAAATGTGGAAGTTGTTTATGATTTAGAGAAGGAAAGAATTGGATTTCAGACAACAGATTGTGCATTGGCTGCAGCTTCACAGGGACTTCACAAGACTTGAAACTTCCTCAAGTCCTAAGTTATGTTTTATAGAAAGCAAAACCTGAACGGAAAGAACCAGTTTAATTTTACAGTTCCAGACTGGAATTAGCTTTCCCATTTTGGATTTTCGGCTCGTTATCATTTTGTTTTTCTCACTTCTTAATTAATGAAGCAACGCTGTTCTTATGGTTGCATCACTTGCACAAGCTCTAATTGCTTTGATGGAATTTCTTTTTGTTTTTTTTTTTTTTTGAGTGTTCAATCTTCATTTTGAGATCTCAACTGACACTGGTATAAAACCATGGCTAAAAATTACAGCATCGGATGACATATTTTCACTTTATTCAGATTGACACAATTATGCTCGAGTGGTGCTATTTATCACCCCCTGTGCCAAATACCAGTTCAGATGATAATTGCATAACACCAAATGATAGATCTTCTTAAATACATTGTCACTTGATTCATTTAATTGAATCTAACCTATATTGGTGTTCTAACACTACTAGTGCTAGAAGCATTATTCAAAACAATATGGATATGAACTAATCAAGAAGTGTTTAGCAGGTCAGGTTCATAGCAAGAACTATTGAGTCTTCCATTAAGACTGGAATGTAAAAGTTGCTGAGTCTAGTGACAGATCCTTTTCAATAAAGCTGCACAATAATGGTAGTAAATACGGCTCAATTGATGAAGTCTACGAGCCTAACTCACAGTATAAAATCAACTTACAATAAAAAGTTTGTTTACACATCTTAATTGGACCTAAGAGAGATGCTAGTAGCAAACTCCTGATGATGAAAGATTTTGAGATGATTTCATCAGTGGGAATAATTTCATAGAGACAAAATCAATCGAAAGGGTTGGCAATGGGGTGGGTTCCCTCGTCCCCTGCCTCCTCGCTAGGCACTTTCCCTCCCCATTTCCCGTATAAGGCAGGTAGGGGGTCAGGTGGAATGGGGCGAGGCGACTACCCTATTTACATACCGGTTTAATTTTATTATTATTATAGTTTTTGATAATTCATTTTATTGTTTCACTCATTCAAGTGAGGCAATAATATAATTATTAATTTTTTTAATTAATTAATTTATTTTTAGAAGTTAAATTATTCGAATATATTTGGTAAACTAATGTTTTTATTATTTATTATATTCCTTAGATAATCTTGTTATTTTTTATTAGAATTAATGAAAATTTGTGAAGTTTTTCTATTTAAAGTATTGAATTATTGAAAAAAAAATTTACGCTGAACGAGATGAGGGCCCCATTACCGGTACCCACCTCGGGACGGAATTCTCCATCCTATCGATTGCCTGTTTAAACGAATAATCTCTGTCCTGTTTGGGGAAGAGCCCCGCGGATATCGGATTTGACAAGTATTTTTGTTATCCCTGATATTTGAGAGTTAACTATATTTCCAGTTCTACGCAATTCTTTTTCATGCGACAGAAACAACAAAAGATATGCATTAATAAAAAATTACAATAGCTTTAGAGACAATAAAAGCGATGTCAAATTTCATCCATCCCTAGCCATTTACAACATATTCATTTCTGACAAACCTGAGAAATCAAGTCGTGTATCACATCTCTTCATCTTCTACGTTTCTCTCTGTCTTTTCTCCAATCCCGAGTATCCTTCTAATGCTTGCAATAACATTGTTTTGACATTAGCTGATGAAATATATAAAAATTATCGTCATCTCAAAGCAAAGTAAACTTATAGAATGCTTCGCGGCTTCTTTCCTAAGGTCTTTTTCAATCCCTTGAGAATCTTTCCAAACCACATCAAGTTCATGGTAGCAAGTGCTGAGGGTACACCGTATACCAAAAGAAATCCAAACGTGTGCATCTTCATGACCTGCAAGAATTTCACAGAACTTCAGTAAAATTTCATAATGTTGTGAGTTCTATACCATGATCCATGACATAAATTTATAGCGAAAATAACAAGAGCACGGGATCAGAACTTGGAGCAATTTAGCAAATTTCTTAAGAAGAGAAGATAAGAAGGCATGAATGAGAGAGAGATGATATGATTTGGTTGAATTTGTCATTGAGAGAACAGAATACTATAATAAGGATAGTTTTTTTTTATTATTTATTATATTCCTTAGATAATCTTGTTATTTTTTATTAGAATTAATGAAAATTTGTGAAGTTTTTCTATTTAAAGTATTGAATTATTGAAAAAAAAATTTACGCTGAACGAGATGAGGGCCCCATTACCGGTACCCACCTCGGGACGGAATTCTCCGTCCTATCGATTGCCTGTTTAAACGGATAATCTCTGTCCTGTTTGGGGAAGAGCCCCGCGGATATCGGATTTGACAAGTATTTTTGTTATCCCTGATATTTGAGAGTTAACTATATTTCCAGTTCTACGCAATTCTTTTTCATGCGACAGAAACAACAAAAGATATGCATTAATAAAAAATTACAATAGCTTTAGAGACAATAAAAGCGATGTCAAATTTCATCCATCCCTAGCCATTTACAACATATTCATTTCTGACAAACCTGAGAAATCAAGTCGTGTATCACATCTCTTCATCTTCTACGTTTCTCTCTGTCTTTTCTCCAATCCCGAGTATCCTTCTAATGCTTGCAATAACATTGTTTTGACATTAGCTGATGAAATATATAAAAATTATCGTCATCTCAAAGCAAAGTAAACTTATAGAATGCTTCGCGGCTTCTTTCCTAAGGTCTTTTTCAATCCCTTGAGAATCTTTCCAAACCACATCAAGTTCATGGTAGCAAGTGCTGAGGGTACACCGTATACCAAAAGAAATCCAAACGTGTGCATCTTCATGACCTGCAAGAATTTCACAGAACTTCAGTAAAATTTCATAATGTTGTGAGTTCTATACCATGATCCATGACATAAATTTATAGCGAAAATAACAAGAGCACGGGATCAGAACTTGGAGCAATTTAGCAAATTTCTTAAGAAGAGAAGATAAGAAGGCATGAATGAGAGAGAAATGGTATGATTTGGTTGAATTTGTCATTGAGAGAACAGAATACTATAATAAGGATAGTTTTCTTTTTATTATGGTTTTAAAATTTTTAAGGCATATATAAATGGATAAATACAAGAGATACTTTCAAACTGCCATTTTGCTCAAATAAATAAATATTGGAAGCCATTTAAAACATTGCGCATGTGTGTGCATTGCATGACTAAGTACTTCAAGCCCAAAGAAGCTGAATAAACAGAAAAGTTGGCAGGGCATTGGAACCCATAGTTGTCAGATCCAACCCAGACATTGACCTGGACAATGCAACATGTTAGTCGGTCACTGGTTCAACCGATGACCCGGTGGTTCAGTGGATGAGTCAATTCTTGTAAAATATATTATTAAGTATTTTCAGTGCATTGTAACATTCTGAATTTTGATATCCAGTTCATCCAATTGTGCACTTCTTGTCTAGCAACAATCTTAAATTATGAATGTTACTTAATCTTAGAAGCACCGTCCTCAAATTATTTCACAAGGTACAATTAAATTAGAATAAGAAAAATGAAGCTCGGTTGGCCTCCGCTAAACACTTAATGTTAGCAAGTCTCATCATGAAAAAGGGCAGAAATTGAAATTGAAGATTTCTTGGGAGAGGATCTGTGATGACTTTGTTTCGTTCATGAATTTTGCACAATTTTACTTTGATTATTTGTTAGATCTTGTGAGTATATAATGTTTTTGATGTGTTTGTTAGTGTTGTTTTGAAGATTAATAAAGACGATGCAAAAAGAGGAACTAAAGCGGACAGAGATAAAAAATAAGGAAATTGGAGTATAAAGACAGTGCCTAGACGCTACAAAATTGAAAAAAAACTGAAATTTGAACCTGAAAGGCAGCGCCCAATCATAATGCTCAGGCGCTACCATCAGCGCCTAGACGCCGCAGCGTTTGGGTCGTCTAGGGCACATTTTTTGGTCGTTTTAAAGTCCATAAAAACCCTACTTCTACACAAAACGGAGGGGCACCTATAAAGACATCTTTCTCATACTTTTGAGGAATTCTCCACACATTCTAGAGGCAAAAACACTTCTTGAGAGAAAGGGGGAGAGATTCAAAGGGAGAGGACAACGCTGAAATATAGATTGGAAGAGGGAGGAATTCTTGGTGCAAGATTCATTTTTTCTTCTACATATTCTTATTAAAAATCCAGTGATGTACTCTATAATAATTTGCTGTTGCTCTCCTTTTATTATGCGTAGCTAAATCCATTGTTAGGGCGAATAATGTAATCCATTCGAGATCCTTTATATTTTCTTATTAAGATTCTAGATTTTTAATTTTTTCATGTGTTGATTCTTGCTATGAATTGATTGCATTAAATTATCTGATTAGTAATTTGATGAATTTTGTGAATTCTTTATAAATAGAGATATGAGTTTAGGATTTAAACCATATAGTAAAATCTAGTACATTGGTATAATAAGTAGAAATACCTATACCATTTACTGCGGTCATAATTGAATTTCTAGGACAAAAAACTCATTTAACTAAGTTGAATTTGCATAGAGATATAAAATTTAATTAGTTGACTAGGCTCAATGAGAACTCAAAAGAGGTAAATTGAATACAATAGGAGAATTCGACAGAACACTACATTAGAATTAATTTTAGGCCCCGTTTGGTAGCCATTTTTTTCAAAATGCATGTTTCTCTTTTTTCTTTTCAACCACACATTCTTTATTAAAATAATATTACACGTAAATAAAAAACTTTTCTTTATTTTTCAACCACATATTTCACATCAATTTACTATTCTAAAATGCATTTTTACATAAAAATGACTATCAAACACTCCCTTAATTTGAGATATAAAGGTGATCAATAGGTGAAGTTATTCTGCCCTAACATCCATCCATTATTTGATTTTCCAACCAATCATGTGAGCATCCATTTATTTTCTAGAATTTAGATTAAAACTTAGATTTTACAACTTTTAATTTTAGTCAAATAGTATTTAAAGAAAAATCGAATTAAGTGCTAGAAAATAGTCCTTGTGGGATCGACAATCCGAATTCTTAAGTCCACTATTACTTGTTACGGTTCTTACACTTGCGAAACTAAAACATACAACAAGTTTTTGATGCCGTTGTCGAGGACTATTACTTTTAGTCTTAATTTATTTTTATTTTAACTATTATTTGATTTGTTTTTTTTTTTTATTTATTTACAGAAAACTGTGTTCATTGTATGTTCCGTGCCCAAGACGACAATCTTGAACCGTTTGATTCGGAGATAGAACGTCCCTTCAGATGAAAACGCAAAGAACACAAACTAAAACAACAATATCAAATGACTGACAATCATCAAATCCCTATCCCTATTAAGTCAATTGGACAAATGGCCGCAAGAGTGGTGGCACCACTGAAATAGCAGCATGAGAGAGTGGAAATTAATGAAGGTGATTTGCCAGTATCAATGTTCCTTACACCTATAACAACAGCAATGAGCTCCAATATTGTGTTTCCAGATTTTGGGGTGAATAACTTTCAGATCATGCCAGATTAGATTAACTTGATGAACAACACTCTGCAATTCTACGGGCTACCTCATGAGAATCCGAATACACATATCTTCAAATTTCTCAGAAACTATCAGAACTTTCATGCTCCTGGGGTCAATGAAGATGCTATTGAATTACGACTATTTCCATTTACATTGAGAGATGCTACATTGGAAATTCAAACTTTTCAACAGAAAGATGGATAAAGCTATCACGAGGCATGGAATAGATTTAATGAGCTGATGAGAAAATGTCTAAACCATGGAATCACTCTAGGAAACCAAGTGCAGTACTTCTACACCGGACTTACACTACTGTCAAAATCTCAAGTCGATGCCTCTGCTGATGGATTAATCATAGGGAAATCAGTACAACAAACCATGGACCTATTTGAGTTAATTGCCACTACACATTCAATGTTCTCATCAGAAAGAGTGGTACCACCAAAGGCAGCAAGAATGTATGAATTAGACAGTACAACATCTACTAATGCACGATAATAGCTTTAACATAACAGGTAGTTACTTTTAAAATAGCAAACACATGGAGCAAATGCAATGATGGCCAACTCAGCATGTAAGAGTTGTGGGAGAAATCACGCTACAGAGAGCTGCATGATGCTCACTTCTTCAGTGAAACAAGTAAACTTTATTCAAAATAGCTCCCGTAATTTCAACTCATATGGGAACAATTTCCAGCAAGAAAGAAGACCAAGTTTGGGGGAGATGTTTTAACAATATGTGCAGAAGACGGACAAGGGGTTCCAGCAAATTGACACGAACTTTCAAAATCAGCAGGCATCCATCAAGAAACTGGAGACACATTCGTCAGATAGTGTAACAAATTGCAGAACGTCCACAAGGGACATTGCCGGGTAATACTATGATAAATTCTAAGGAACAGGTGATGGTCATTAAAGTAGTGGAGAACGATTCACCTAGGGACCCGTGAAAGTTAAAGCATATGTACCTCCACTTCCATTTTCCCAAAGACTTCGAAAGAAGTCGATGGAGCAAAATATTCATGTCATAAATACAAAGAGCGAGGTGCAATCGTCAGAGATCACTACAGAGAGACCCAAAAGAAAAGATGACCAGGAAGTGATTGATGAAGCAACAAGGGTAGAAAAATCTGCACCAAACGCAACTGAAAATGGAGAAAGTACAGAAACATCAGCTGCCAAAACACCAAGTCTAGACAAAACTTACATGCCTTCCATCTCCTCTCATCAAAAGCTTAAGAAGAACAAACAAAACACAAATTATAAAAAATTCCTCAATGTTCTCAAGAAGTTCCAGATCAATGTTTCGTTCATTAATGCAAAACTACAAATTCCAAGCTACGTGAAATTTTTGAAAGAAAGAAAAAAAGCTTCCAGAGTTTGAAACTGTGGCATTAACTGAGGAAAGTAGTACAAGAGTTCAGAGCAAATTACCACCCAAATTGAAGGATCCAGGGAGTTTTACTTTACCAATTTCATTTGGGAATTCCTGTTCAATTAATGCATTGTGTGACACTGGTGCCAGTATCAATCTAGTGTCGTATTCTGTTTACAGGGAATTGAGACTAGGTGAAGTCAACTCAACATCAATAACGCTACAATTAGCTGATAGAACAATCGCAAGGCCACGTGGCAAAGTTGAGGATGTACTCGTAAAAGTAGGAAATTTCATATTTCCTGTGGATTTCATTGTATTGGACATACCAGAAGATCGAGACATTCCAGTTATATTGGGTCAACCATTCTTAGTAACGGGACGAACCCTTATTGACATGGAGAAGAGAGAACTAATCTTGAGGATAGAGGACAAGAAGGAGATATTTAATATTTACATTCAATATGAGAAACCCCTCCCAATAAAAATGATTGCTGTAGAATTGATGAAGAAGAGCCACCTGATCAACAAAGCTGTCAGAACAAGAAACCAAATTTTGGAGAACTTCTTGGTAGAGATAAGAAAGGACAAATCAAAATCTGGATAGCAAAAAAAGACCGCATCAATGAAAATTGCACAAAGTGCAATGAGGAATAACTTGGTTTGAGCCACCATGATAAATCAGCGGCACAAGTCAAGCTAATGACTTAAAAGAAGCGCTTCTTGGGAGGCAACCCAAACTTTTATTTTATTTTATTTATTTTGTTTTCAAAGTTCTAAGATAGTCTAATTTATAGTTTTCATGAATCATCACCCATACCCCTTTTACCCATAGGTCTTGGAGTAATTAAGTTGGTTATTAGATGTTTGAGTTAAGTAACCCTTGTTCCATGAATTTAATTTTTCAAATTTGATTTTTCATGAACATGATGTCGCAGAACACTCAAACCAATATGGACATAGAGAAAATGAGACAAATCTCAAGTTTGGGGGAGAATATGGAAGAAGAGTCGATCAAATGCAACACTAAGACACCACAACATCATAGACAATACTAACATTTCAGGGAAATCCTCATCCTTTTCCTTTAAATTTAACATTGAGGACAATGTTTAATTTAAGTTTGGGTGAGTGTATTATTATTAATTGCCTACCTGAAATTTTTTTGAGTTTGACATTTTGACTTACAATTACATTTTATTTTGAGATTTGGTGTTGATTTATAAACTGTGAATATGATGAATGTTAGATTGATTGAAACTTAACCTTGCAAAACTCAATATTATACGTGCACAGAATTGAGTTTGACACTGTGATGAAACGAGTTGATTCATTTGTTAGATAGATTGATTTAATTGGACATAGATACTTTACCTAAACCATAGTAAGTTATTTATCCTTAGACCAAAGTTAGCATCGTTTGGGGTGGTGACTTTACAGTTGTAGGAAGATGCGGATGTGAATTTGGATTCCATGTGTAAAAACTTATGTATGAATTGTCTTAGACTAACATGATAAAACTAGGTGAAGGTCTTAAGTTGAAGGCCGGTTTGTTTGAATAAGTGTGTAATAGGGGCATTGCACTAATCAAGACATATACATTTGAAATTGAAAAATTCTTCATGACTCGAGTAATTAAGCCTGCAAGGATATTTTAAAACTTGGTGCCCTAAAGTCGTCTGACTTGGAAGTCATCGGCCTAAAGCTCGCTACAGGGGTCATTTAGAAGGCTATCAAAGATGAAGCTGCACTTGAAACAAAAATTGGTTCTCTTTGAAGCCTTTTTTACTCGGATCAGTAAGCCTATAAGGGTGTTTAAAATCAGGTGCCCTAAAATCATCTGATTTGGGGGTCATCTAAAAAGCTTATTGGAGAGAATGCAAGGAAAAAAAAAACTTGTGAAAAAAAAAGCAAGTGCATGAAAAGAGCAAAAGCACTAAATACCTTAGTTAAGTCCTAACACTTATTTGAGAGAATTTGACTTTCGATGAAAGATAATTAGCTAGTTGAGTTGTGGTGGTCGAAGCAATAAAATAATTGAAGAATCCCTGTTCACTAAAGTGTTGACTTGCAACTAGTAACGTCTACTTGAATTCGAAAGGGTGAGGATAGTAATGAGATATTCATCCTTAGGTTACACACTGGAATGAGTGAAAAGAATAACTTTCCGGATGTGTGAATCACATGAAAAACGTAAGGATATATTTGACTACAGAGGGTCGGAGTTGAAACAACTTGTGCAGTCATGGTAGATTACTTAATTCTTCACACACACACATTGATTTTGCACTGGAAGAGTAGATATTGGCTTGGTATTGTGACTTAAAGTATGTTTGTGGAATAAACATCAAAATCTCGAATCCTGAAGTGAAAAATTTGATTGTCCAACCAATTATCTTTTGAATGCTCGTGTGTATCCTCTTTGGATGATTTTATTGTTTGGTGTGTTTGTTTGCTCGAGAACTAGCAAACGGTTAAGTTTGGGGGTATTTGAGAGTTCGTTTCGCTCATGAATTTTGTACAATTTTAGCTTGATTATTTGCTAGATCTTGTGAGTATAAAAT